GTGTTGTAGAGATTTTTAGAACATAGAGTAATTGGGCAAACAGTACTAGTACACACCATATTTTAAGTCATTTAAAAATAATGTGTGATAAGTATCTTGAATGTACTTTTAAAAAATATTCAGACTACTTGAGGGCGATCTTTATTAAATATATTTTTAGCTTTAGTGGTAGTAGAAGTAAAATTGATGCAAACTACCCCACGTTGGTTGGAAAGTTTTCTGAAAATGCTCATCTATGAAAATGTATTTTCCTGGTTTTAAGGAGAAAATTCCAGATGCATCACGTCACAGAGTTTATGACCAACATCATTAATGCATTCTTGAGGAAAAGATCATCATCATGTGATATTTTTCTTTGACTCTCAAAGAAATATATGCTAGTTTTAGAAAATCTGGGAATTACAGTTAAGAGTGAAAAAGTAGGGGAAAAAAGCACCACATATAATTCCATTGCCGGGAGACAAAGACTGTTCACAAGTCAACATTGTAACATACTTACTTTCAAAATATCTATGTGGAAATATAGTTGAAAGTTTAACATTACATGATTTTTATCAATAATATTTATTGAATGTCTATCATATGCAGGGTACTGCATTGTTTCTTTTATTCTCTGAATTACTTTAATAAAATTTTCAGCTATCAATATCAAAGATATCCAATTATAGAAAAATGATATCATAGAGTAGATTTTGAAACCCTCACAAGCATGTATTCTTGCATCAGTTGCGATATAAACGACTGGCTCACGTTATTAAGTAACCTGCAAAATTCTACTTTTGATAACTTTATTTGTCCTGCTGCTGATAAGAGAGCACAAATTAGTGGCCCTCTGCTTTTTGAATTCTTGTTTTACAAGTGTTTAACATTTAATATCAAAGACTGCAGAGATATAACAAAAGTAAAACCATCAAACCCTAACTTAGCAATCACCTTAAAATTTTAAATTATCATGTTATGGGGATGCTCCTTGAATTGTATTAAGATGTTTCTTTAGCTTCCTTTTTATAGAGAGATTTTTTTAAAAAACTAAACCTGATGTTGTCCTCTTTTTTTGATAATAATATTTTCTCTAATCTAGAATAGAAGACTGAGGTATTGAGAATGTTAAAGAATTTTCCCTAAGTTGTTGCAAAGAGTTGGAAGCTGTGTCTCAATACATATTTGTCTTTTCGGACTAATGCTGACCAATGACTAGATTGAGCAAATTCTAGAATCCTAAAATCATGACTAATAGAGTGGGGATAAGATCTAGTCAATTTTCTGGATATAAAGACTGAGAGCAGTTAAGGGATTTGTTCAAGATCATACAACTTGAATTGGTAGACGTTGGGTTAAGTTGCACGTCACTGATTTGAAGTCTTGGGTGCTTTTCTGTACTTTGCAGCCAAAATGGGGAAGGATTTTCCAGTTCATTCAAAATGATTGAATCAAGTCTTGTATGTATTTACATCTCGATTAGTGGCTTTAGATCTAGATAACTAGGTTTTAGAATAGGTTTCTACATTATTGGAGAATTTCTGATCCAATAGTCATTTTGTTAACAAATAAATATTATTTAAAGTAAATCATGTTACAATGTTCAGGCTCAATAAAATAGTTTTTTATGCCCTGGCATGCTAATCTCTAAAATTGGCATCTTAGAGATAACGTCATAACCACGCTTAGTTCTGGAAATCATGCTATAAATTTTGCCTAATAGCAGTGGAATTATAGTTTATAAATCTTGGGCAGGATATTTAACCTCCTTGTGCCTTGTTTTCTTTATCTGGAAATTGGGGATGATCATTGTAGCTACCTCATAGTGTTATTGTGAGGATTAAATGAATTAATATATACAATGCATTAAGATCTAAGTGCCCAATAAATGTTTACTATTGTTTTGTTATTATTGTCATTGTTATGAACTTATGATCTAAATCATCATTATTAACATTTTCTGAATATAAGTGAATATGTAAGTTCAAAGTAATATGCAGATTGACCATATCTTTTTAGGGATATTTTATTTGAAAACATTTTAAATTGTAGAGGTAAAATAGCCCTTTTGGGCTTTTTTTTCTCTATAATGCAAATATTTTTAAATCATAGCATTAAGTTTGTAAAATTATCTCCACTGCCATTTGAGTCTTTTTAAAAAATATTATTTGCAAACTTTTTACATAGCTTTAATAATAACATGCTATAATTTTTTGTCCTGAAGAATTTTTTAAATGATTACGTAATTACTGAACACTATTTCATTTGCACCAGGATTTTAAGATGGATGAGATTATTTTAGCCACCGGTTTGGATATGAAACCAAGTCACTGGACCACCAAGCAGGACAAGGAGGTAGCAGGAAATTAATTGTTTTATGTTCTTGACTTGAACACCCCTTCTCACTTCCCATCCCTGAGTTTAGAAAAGAGATTGGAGAGTTTCAGAGGATTTTTTGGAGTTCATGCAGGATATTTGGAGACCATTACTGGGGTGTTGTGAATCCTAGTTCCTCCTAAGTGGAAGGATTTGGGAGGTGCCTCTCAGTTTATATAAAGCGGGGGAGAGGAGTAGTAAGGAAAGCATTCAGAGAGTTTGATGTGCATTCCCTGTGTTTGGGAAGCCACTAGGCTGGTGGGTCCACAGCACTCCTGAAATATCTAATGGTGAGCGATGGTTTGGCATGCTGCTTTGATGTTGGTCAGAAGGAAAGGTGAGTCGGAGAATTGGTGTCTCAGGGAACTAGAGTCTGACCATGTGTAGGAATCAGGGGTTATTGTCCATCTTCTCCAAGAGGGCTACTTGGAGTGTCAAAAAGAGTTCCGCATGAGGAGACTGAGGCCCAGAGAAGCGGCCAGCCAGAGGAGAGTGTAGCCAGGTGAGAGATACCCAGCAATAGAATTAAGGATGTCTCTGACGATCCTACAAAGTATCCCATGAGCTTTATATACCTGCCTGGCCCAGAGAGCCCAATGCCAGTATCAGTCAAGTAAAAACTTCCCTGTGCCTTTATTCCTCCCTTCTGGTTCCACTCTGAGACAGTAATTATAGTTGGCAAACTGGCATATGAAACTATGCTTCTGAAGAATCACCCTCCACCCTGACATCCTTGGGGAAGGAAAATAGCTAAAACTTTGAAAGAATTTGAGTTTTTATTATACGGGACTAGACATATTAATTATTTAGTGGAGGATCTTTTATTTTCTGAAAGTTACCAGAAACATCATGAGACTTGCCGTGAATTTCATCTGGGGGAAAACGAAGAACCAGTGTCCAGACGAAAATTAAATGAAAAATTTATATTGTTGTAGGATTATTTCTCATAAAGTTCTGCTTGTTGAAAGTAATGATTACCTATTCATAGTTTACTTAATAATTTCCTTACTTTTATACATTTAGGTTTGTGATATTGAGATATTATAAATAATGTCAAACTAGACATGTTTATATATATTAATATATTTCTATCATTATATTTTGGACTATTAGAGATTTTTTTCCAGAAGGCGGACAACTTTATATATATAAATATTGACAAATTGCTTTTCAAAAGAGTTTAAGTGCCTTCCACTCCCACTGTCTTTGTGTGAATGTTTCAGATACTAAGAAGTTAAAAAGAAAAAAAAACTGATTGAAAGACGCTTTTGATTTTTTATAACATTTATGAAAGTGTTGATTACAAAAGGAAAGGAAAACCTCTTTTCAGCTAACTGTACCTGAGCAGATGTCAAAAAATGTTATTATTCTAAGTGACTCTGTTCACACACTGCATAGAATTTTCTCTATGGATTATAAAATTGCCCTTCATGGGGTAAAGAGCTGCATAAAAATTTTTCAGTCAGTCATTTATTTTGAAGCATATTAAATTTGGAGGTGAAAAAATTTAAAAGTTTATTAATGATCGTAGAATAGTTTGACTTTTAAGTATTAAAAAACTAACAATATTTTAGTGTGTCCCTTGACTTAAATTAAACTTTAAAAAAATCTACCATGAAATAATAGTTTCTGAAATCTTAAAAAAGCCTAAATAAATACTCTTCACTAGATTGAAAAATTAGAAATAACTTTGAGCATTATGTTATCTCTAACAAAGCATGCCATGACTTATAAGATTAGTCGAAAACTAAATGTAGTACATTTTGAAACAATCTGACAAAGAAACAGGTAATAAAAGAACACTGTTGCATATTTTATTTTTATCCACATATGACATTTGTATTCATAATAGCACACAGATTTGGGTAAGTTGGAAGAGTACGTGGGTGAAAGACAATAGCTGAGAATTAAAATACTTTGCCTTACTGTAAAAAGAGCGACATTATTTCTTCAAATAAGATAATTTATATGTCTAATACAAATTTGCTTTTTAATGTATCATAAGCTTTCTAAAGGAGGTTATCATAAAGATAATAATAATATACAAGTAATTCTTAACAAGCAGCATCTATAAATAGACAGTTTTAGGATTTTTTTCTTTCTTCCTTTTCAAAAATACTGAACATGGAGAGAAATTATAAATCCTAAACTGTTGGGTAGGTATTTTGAGAAACATCCTGAAATAGCTAGGCTGACCAAATGGCTGATCCTGTATCTAGAAGTCTTCCTACATCTGTAGTGTCTATCTGGAAACTAAGGCTAGTTCCTGGATAGTTTGTTCTCTGCTGATTCTTGAAAGACTAGCCTGGGTCTACTTCACAGACAGCTTTGGGTAGTAAATTCCAGTTGCCCTTTTGTATACTTAAATGGCCTTTCAAAACTGCAATAGTCTCTATGACTGTGGACACTGATTCTGCTTTCAAATGATGAGTTAAGGTTGAGTTGACAACCCAGAGTAGAAAGAACGTTACCTGCAGGGTCACCTACAAAACTAAAATGATGCAACTTCCTTTCTCCCTGGAAAGTAACATCCATCTGGAGTTATATGACTGCCTGCTCACATTTTGCATCTTACGGCCATTAATATTCCCACCATTCTGTGAAGCCAGTGGTGGGGCTCAGCAGATGTCAGAAGAAGTTCCTACCTGGACCAAGCTATATCCTGTGCGCTGGACCAGTGCGCGGAGGGCTGCTTCCTTCTGGGTGCCGCTCAATCCATCCCCGGATTTGTGATTTGATTCCATTGAGAGTGATTATCAGCAAAAAATCAGGTTAATTAGGGTTGCTCACTGAAACCAAATTTAAGATAAATTAAGTAAATTACTGCTGCCAGGTCCAAACTTGTGCTTTTCATGAAGGACATCTTTAGGAAACATTCTCTATAAATGAGTCGTTCAGGTTAGAGCAACTAACAGCCACACACAAAAAAGGCCAGTTAATATCCTCATTGCAAAAGAGTTTGTAAAAAATGTACAATTTTAGGTAAAGTCTAGACATCAAAAACGAATAATACCCCTTCTCCAATTAGAACGCAGATCAGTAATTCTCAATTCAATTATCACAGAATGTCACCAAATGCTCAAAAACAAATTGGCTCTTGTCAATTAAAAGAATATTCAAAATGGTCCTTGCAGATGTGGGAAGGGGGCCCTGTTACTAAATCAAATCAGCTAGGATAAAGTATCAAAATCCTGAGAGATTTCATTTAGCTATTCTATGTGTTACCTGAGGCGTTTACCTACTTATTCTCCAAAGATCAGTTTCTAAAACAGAGCGCGCTGGTGTTGGATACACAGAAGTCATCATGCAAACTACTCTGTGTAATAAAAATGTCACATGGGTTTTAACGAAACAAGAACAATGCATCCTTTTGAGTGGTGTTGGAAGGGCCTACTACCACCTGGGTCATATACCCCACGGACCACTCACCACAGGACATGAAGCCCTTTGTAAAAATCTAAGAAATTATGAAAGGGTTACATATGTCCGTGTTTATGTATGTAAATATGAATATGCAATTTCAACATTTTATTATCTATACTTTGTATTTGGGAACGTGATTTGAACCCCATTCTAAACGTGATGGTTGCTCCCATCCACAAGTTCCCCCACAAGGATATGGCCATGCTGAAGTTTCCAGGAACAGTGGTGTGAGGCCCTGGAGTTGCTCCTGTACGTAGGGGTCCTACACTGACCTGCTGGGTGAGAGTGTGAGTGGCTCAATGGAGGTTCTTTGCTGATTCTCTGCTGCTCACTGTGCTCTGCCAACCAAGACGGAGGAAATGTGTTTCATGATGATTTGAACCATGAGCGAATCTAACGTATTTGACTATAGGTCCTTTTAAAAATTTTCTGTGCTGTGCATTGAGATTTTCTATCCTGATTTTGGTTGTAATTTAAAGATTCAGAATGAATGGACCATTAATAATAAAGGAAACTGGGCCAAAAAATTGGGTGACCAAAAAAAAGTGAGACTGAGGTGATCGTTTCAGTAAAAGGCAGCTTCCAAGTATTATTAAAGTAATAGAATAAAAAAAGTCCCCAGGCTAATAGATGAGGATCATTTAGAAAGTAATATTTTCAAAATATTTTAGAAAGCCAAAGGAAAAGAGTATGAGATTCCAGAGAATGTCCATTAGCTGTTACAGGGACAGACCAATTTCATGCTCTGCATAAGCATGGTCATTTTACCCCTGACTTTTCTAATAATTCTTGCTTACTTCTGACCCAGGCCAATTCAGTATCACTCATTCATTCTCTCAAGAAGTATTTAGCTAGCGTTGTCCGTATGCCGGCTCTACCTCCTGCCGCCATTTGGGCATTGTATTCTATGGGCAGTAGGCTAACTCCGTTAAGATGCCAGTGTGTGTGTGTGTGTGTGTACTTTGCAAAAGGCAGTGATTTAAAAAAAATCCTAACTTTGTATTTTGGCTAAGACAAATTAGAAAGTGTCTTTTTGATAGTGGTGATTTGATATAGGTGCAGTAATCCAGGCTGGGACATGTAGCTTTACTGACACACTTATCGTGTAAATCCTCTTCTTATGGATACTACAACATAGGAGTGAAATGAGACCTGCTTTCAGTTTATAATCCTAGTCTGATGGTGAATACAGTCATAGGAATCTCTATGAAGCAATATAAATCCTCATAAAAAAATAAAACAATATAGGCATTTTGAAGATTTACAAAGAAAATGAGCCTTTAAGACAAAGTCTAACTCTTGAATTTTTCCCCAATTTTATTAAACTTGTCTTTTTGTGGGGACACTCTCAGTTCTCCCATAGTGCTGAGTTTAACCTGCACGAGCAGGGAGGCCACAGAGGGACTGAGGTCCAATGAGGTTAGTCATGTGTGTCTTACAGATGTTTAAAAGCAAAGTCTATTGTCCTTGCCAAGTTGTAGATTTGCTCTTTGCGGAACTTCATCTTTTCCATCAAAAGTTTATTTACAAAATCTACCTTTAGTTTTGGTTAATAATTAGTAAAGGTGATGAAAGATATTTTGACATTAGAAAGGTCTTTTGGTCACTTAGAGGTTCACTCTGAAATTATTGAGAAAATCTATATAACGTGTCGATATAGTGTCAAGTCATTGGAAATCAGGACATGGAAATAAACTTGAGAATTTGCCACAAGAGACACTTCATCTTCTAGGTTTATTTCTCAAAAACAACCCCCTCTTCCAATGTTGACCTAATCTAAGAGGTGAACTTGAATCCCAGATAAATATTTTTTTAGGCAAGTCAAACTTTTGTTAAAAAAAAAGCTGGTCAATTTGAAAGAGAGGTTTTGCAATACATTTTCTAATTTAGCACCTTGTAAATTCTTCAGCTGTGAGACTACCGCATTTTGAAAGAGTAGCTCCCAATGTAATTTATTGAGGCAATAGAATTCAAAACCTGTATATAGCAGGCATTAATGCCTTTGGAGACAGAGGAAAGTACTTGGGAATGTTTACCACTTATTCATTCAAAAATTATTTACTGAGTACCTACTATCATCCAAGAATGTTTTTTGTTTTTGAGACACTGTTTTGAGGCTATAGCAGAGAATGAAACAAACCCCTCTCCCCAAAAAATCTCATGGAGTTTTATAGTGAGTGAGAGAGACAATAAACAAGACAAATAAGTAAAATATACAGTGTGCATATGATAATTTCTGAGGAGAAAAAAATAAAGAATGGAAGAGGAATATGAAGTGTGTGTATGGGGGGATGAAATTTTAGATAGTGTGGTCCTGATGGAGTGAGTCTGGGGAGAGATCTTGGCAACGCATTTGGAGGAGAGCATTCCAAGCAGAGGGCCTGGCAAGCTGAGGTGGGAGCTTGTTGATGGAACAACGAGGAGGCCTTTGTGGAGAGGAGGGAGCTGAGTAAATGAGGAGAGAAGTTGGGAGTTGGGGTCAGAGAGATAATGGCAGACCAGATCATGTAGGATCTCGTAGGTCACAGTAAGGACTTTAGCTTTTGCACTGAGATGTGAAGCCAGAGATAGACAAGATTTTACTTATGTTTTAACAGGATCACTCCAACTGTTGAGAATACATTGAAGGGAGTAGGGCAGGGCTTGGCCCGAGGTGAAGCAAAGGAGGTAAGTAATGCAAACACAGGGTCTGGTCCTGTTTTTACTTAAAATTTTGCTATCTTAAATTACGGATTTTTTTTGCATTGATTTTGATTTTTTTTTAAATATTGCATTAAAATATCATTTGTCTGGATTACTGAGTTTTTTGATGCCCTTACATTTTGCATTCAAGGCAAATGCCTCACTGTGTTGGTAGGGGGGGTCAAGGGGAGAAGCAGGGAGAGTAGTTAGAAACCATTGCAACATCTAGGCAAGAGACACTAGTGGCTCAGACTAGAGTAGTGATAGTGGGGATGGTGAAAAGTGGTTGAATCTTGGGTATATTTTACAGATGAATTGGATGTGTTGTGAGAAAAAATGAGGAGTCAAGGATGACATCCATTTTTTGGCCTGGGCAACTAAGAGTAGAATTGCCACTAACTGAGATGGGGAGCAGCAAGTTTGTGGAGGATAAGCAGGAGGTCGGTTGTCGGCTTGTTGATTTTGAGATACCCATTAGATAGCCATGTAGAGAGGCTGAGTGGACAGTTAGATATATGAGTCTGAAGTTTATAGGAGAGTTCAAGGCAGGAGATATCAATTTTGAAGGTATCTGCATAGAGATGATAGTTTAAACTGTGAGATTGGCTGAGAACATCCAGGGACTGAGTATAAAAAACAGGTCCAAGGACTGATCTCTGGGGCACTCCAGCTTTTGGAAGTCAGGGAGACAAGAAGGAACTAGCAAAGGAGAATGAGATGGAGAAGCCAGAAAGGTAGGAGGAGAACCAGGTAAGTGAGGTGGATTGGAAGCCAAGTAAAGAAAAAATTTTGAGAACAAGTGAGTGAGTGGGGGTGCCAAGTCCTGCTAAGTCGAGTAAGATGAAGCCTGAATAGGAACGCAGACACTGGAGCTAGACTTCCTGGGTTCAGATCCTCATACTGTCTCTTACTGTATTCCCTGGGGAAGTTCCTTAACCTCTTGGTGTCTCAGAATCTTCAGCTGAGAAAGTGATAGTATTTCTCTCAAGGTCATTGTATTACATGAGTAAATACATTGAGGGAGCTTTGGAAGAGTTCCTGCCATATATTAAGTGCTAGATTAATGCTAGGCACAGATATATAAAATATAGAAAGGAGAAAGAAAAAGGCAGTATATAACCAAGAACCTCAACTTATCAATTCTGTGATTCTGCAGTAAGAAATTCCACAGGTTCATGGAACAGCACTGTTACCTAGATGACAATGGCTGAGAGAAGAAAGGGACAGAGAAATGGAAGTGGATGGAGAAAGGTTACAGGCAGTATTACAGCGAAGAATCATGGACCCCCTCCCCACCAAGCATCAGTTTCCTCAATTGTGAATTGAGGTAGCAAGCAGGCTGTGAATGATGCTGTTTTGAAGACAAAATGAGCAAACACCCGTGAAGTGTTTAGTTTAGGTCTAGCATACAGCAAGCACTACAAGATGGCTTACTGTTACTGCTAACAACTCATGTTGGAGGAAAGAAGCAGAGTGGAGGAATAGCAGTGATTCCAGAGGGGCCCTGCTGGAGATGACAGCACCTCCTTGTATAATTTTCTTTCCCTACCTTCTTCTTTGTATTCATTCTGAAAATGGGGTGAAGGAGGGGCTAATAATAAGAAAAACTAGGGATCTCCTCTAGCTCTGCCAACTTTCATTAAAGTGCAATCAATGTCTCCCCATCCTCTTAGACAGTGTTTTT